ATTCGGCAAAAAATCCCATCTGTGAGATTTTAGAAAGGTGTAATAGTTCACACGTACTATAGGCACCATTGTAACGCTCGTACATACGTGGAATGGATGATGGAGTTGGGAGGGAAGGTTGAAGATAGAGGGGAAACGAATGGAGGAAGTAGAACTGGTTGTCAAAAATGAATTTCCTCACACCCAAAGACCTTTGCAACGCCCTAAGCAGCTTCGTATGAACGACTATTCCCCAAGCAAGGTTATACACTCTTACCATATTCGGCCAGCGTCGATTTTGGAGGCTGAAGAAAATGCTCTTTAGTTAGCATTTTGAAGGCCCAATGTGTTTATCCTGCCCCAAACCCCGCCCACCGGAGGTCCATCCAGTGGAGCAAACAAGCACGGTAATCATAACTTCTTGTCAACACCGTTAAGTAGAAGATGCACGAAATTATTTGAATGCTACGAAAAATCACTACCGGGCAAAATGACCCCTGGGAAGTCTCCGAAACTCATCCATATTTGGATTCCTGTTAGCGAGAGAGGACTTCTTATCAGCTTTCTTCGTTTCTCTCGACAATATCGGTCGCTACCAGATTATGCATATTTGTTTGTTTATTTAGTTACCATTGCTGCCTACTGTTCTCTACAGTCTCGTATAGGCTCGCGCAAAAACGCTATTGCTCAGTAGGCAAACATTTTCTTATTAGAGCTACGAGGGGAACCACCAGAAAAGATCGCTGGTGTTTTAGTGCTAACCGGAAGTATTCAAAAATAGCTTTGATATCAGCCTTAAAGATAAGTGTTATGATAAATTGTATGGAAGAAAGGTAAATGGCCCTCAATGAAGGGAAGTTTGACTCTCAAGGGGACGAAACGTGACACTCCCGCAGGCAAAAAATGGTAACGATCATGTAGGTCTCATCCATCCCTTTAAGACGCCTCATTTCTCTACCGGCTCACCCTCTTGCTACTCTCTCCGTCAGACTCTGGCCGTTTCTGTAGAGAAGCAGAGCAACGCGTTAATGTTGATGTCTTCAGATTTCATGTGACTTGTCGGAAATCGGGTTTTACAGGCTCTAGGTGATTTCTCTTGGTTTTTTCTCTAATGCTGGACCTGCTAGCAGCCCAAATTTCATTTCCAAAGGACTATTAATTCAAGGTCAATGGCCTTCAAAACGCGTGATGACGAAACTAGGGGTGCATCGCTGGTTCTAACATTTCTAGAGGTTTTTCTAGGTATTTCCCGCATAAATTGGCTCAAGCATCAGCGACTCCGCTTCAAGAAGTGTGCAAAGAGGGGATTTTTTCATCAGTTTTTCTGTGAGTTCGGCTGTGTGTCCCTCCGTGGTGGCTTAATTGGTACCAAACTTGTCTGGGAGGATAAAACCCCCACGCGCGCGGTCTGATGATCGAATCCTGGGGTCGTGCGTCGTCCGAGCCTAAGCTTTCACATACATCCCGCCCGGCTAATTTAATTGGTAAGCCGAAAATTGTCTGGGAGATAAAAGCACTATTTCACTCGGCTGGCCCCGCAGGTCATTGCTAGGTCGATCGCATTCAAACGCTATTACGAATGACAAATGGGCGTGCCGTTTCCCAAAAAGCAACTGAACAATAATACTTTGACTTTGCAAATCGCTCAATTCGCAGAGTCTGACATCGGCCTTACCCTTCTACACTCATCCAGGAGCTTGCTTTCACTCTACAAATGAGTTGGAGCAACGTCAATGATTATATATTGTCGCTGTCCACATGCCGTTCTTAAAGGATGAGCTTTGAAAAAGAATAGGGTGATGATTTAGACAGTGCTACCGCATGATCTTTCGCACAACTCATTTTTTTGACAGATTCCTGGCGTTCCTTCGCTGAACGGGGCAGCATTTGATCGGTTGTTAGCGAAATTTCTCCAGAACTCATCTCATAGGAAATACGATTCAAAAGTTCACTTTCATTGCTTGAAAAAACAAATTGAACCCGAATCTCGCCCTAAATTCCCTGACAACAGGATAGGCTGTGTTTGACCTTTTTCATCAATCACCTGCGCTAGCATAACCCGTTCCCCAGGAAACATCCATCCAGAAATTTTTCACCCTTACATAATTATTATAGTTTTCATCGGTACCCGTCATCTAGAGTACGTAGGGGACTTGTGGCAGAAAATGTACAAATTTTCAAAAGGCGTAGACAAGGGCTTAGTAGGGATTTCTGTGAGAACACGTACGATTTGAAATAAGATGGAAATACAATAAATATAGCTTGAAAATGAGGTGGAAATGGAAACATAAGAGGTAGCAAAGGTCAAAGACAGTGATCATGACGACTGGAGAGCGGTGCGGTTTCGGTGACGTCATTGAGCGTCAAAGGTAGTTACTGGGACCCTTCATAGAGATAGGGGAAGTGCTTGGAACCGTCTCCTAAGGCCTTTTGGCAACAACTTCAATGACGTCATCACGAACGCAACCGCTTCCAGCCATCGTAATCGCTGCCTTCAGAGGAGAGAGTGGTCGTGCTGGCAGAGCCCCTCGACACATGGCCCGCCCCGCCCACTAGTCCACAAGGTGGCCATATAGATCGCAAAAAGGTCCATTATATTTATAGTTTCTACTGAATTAAAAACTTCATTGGAGAGTGCTGAAACTATTTTAATCACATGAGGTAACACGGTGACATAGGAGGTAGGGGAAATTAAGGATTAGAAGGATTTTACGATGAAAAGTTAGCTCATTGGAAATAAGGGTAGAGGTGGTCAGTGGAGCAGGGATGAAGAAAAACCATGTGAAACGGCCCGGAACCCGAGAAATGGGACCCCTTCCTTGCCCGTTGATTTCCGCATTGATGCGACTCTCATCGTGCCCTCTTCAACGCTAACGCTCTCTCTGCTATGTCGGTGGGCGTTCCGGGCCAACTGCGCCAAAGGGAAGGCCATGCCAGATCGCCGGGGGCATATCCTTCGATGCGAATTGCGTGTTGGTCCGCACCCTTAGGGGAGGTCCGCCTGTCTCTCCACTAGGTAAGTTCCCATTCTTCGACCTTCGTTCTTATTGTGGAATCCTCCTTTGAAATTACCCCGCGCGCTGATCTTTTGGCCTTGCGGAAGAGGGCTATGCTTAAGTCATCTTAGCCGTATTCCTGAAAAGAGCAAAACTATGGACCAGCGCTGTAGTCGATCTCAGAACCTTCTTACCTGGGAGTCAGAATCACTACCGTTGCGCTTTCCAGCTACATAATGCTTTCAAAAATCGTTACACAGACAACGTTAGAGCTCATAGTCTCGCAGCACGTGTGCAGGTCAGCTTTGAGGCCGATGTCCCTTAGGTTGCTTGGTTGTACTAAAGCCAAGTATGTGATACGCGCGCTAGCGCGGGTAACAGAGCTGGCGTGGTGATAACGAGCTGAGAGGTAATAGAGTGATCGCTAGAATAACCTACTCGTAAGAACACGGGCGGAAGTAGAAAGCGATAACAAGTGATAGAGAGGGGTAACGTCTTAAATAACGATGAAATGATTGAAGACGAATGTTTGGAATCGGAATAATCGATGACAATGTTCGGTGAAAAACGGTTTCATAGGGGACAGGTAAAAAAACGTGGTAACATTATGAGTGGCCTAACAATCACATAAAATAGGTAAATAGTAAAACTGTACCGTAACTGATTACCTGTTAGAGATACGGAGTTGTTACGGTAATAGATGCATATCAGGAACGAGAAAGATCAGGAATTCCGAAAGCGAAAAAATGGCCCAGAAATACCCTGGTATCGTCGTTGGCCAAGTTTCAAAAGTGATCACACTGATAAATCGATGGATCACTCTAAGGTGGCGTGTGGGTCGGGCGAGGGGAGGGGAAAAAGACGTGAAAGGAAGGTGTTGTTCAAGAGAATCACGGATATTCTGAATCTCGCGACTGAGAGTAACTGATGGCCTTTACGAGGAGAAGTTGACGCCCAATTGAAGGCGTGCCTCATGTGGCGCTTATCAAAATTTGTTAGGTCTGAAGGGCATTTCATAAAGTTTGAGCCAGCAACCTTGGGGTCAGGGTAGCCAGACAGGAACTTCTCACATGGTGCTCACTATCATCAGTTGACCGAGACTTTCGGTCTTCCGATAAACATATTAAGGGTTGCAAAGAGACAGAAGTCCCGGACCTTCAAAGATGAACAGATTTGAGGCAGCTTTCCGTTCTTCTTTCGGGTCCGTCGTGGTGAAAGGTCAGCTCGCAATATGAGTGCGTAAAGTTTAGTGGAATGCATTGGGTTGGGAAGAAAGTTTCAGAGCACCCCACAGCCGAAATTTGAAATTTATTTTTTTATCTTTTTATTCTAAGACCCGTAACATATTGACCATCAGACTCAGCAACAATACGCCAACCTTCGGGCAATTGGTTGACACCACATTTGTAGAAATTAGGAGAATTTTTGTCAAACAACTTTTGGAAGTCGGATTTGCGGTCCTCGTCGTCGAGCTTTCTGTTCTCCAGGTAATGAGCGAGCGAGCAGGAAAGGTGAAGACGTGTATGGATAGGTTTGACGAATATGGCAGACGGGCAACCGCGGTCCAGCCTAGCTTGAGAATCTTGTGGCTTGAGACCGAACACCCGCGCCGTTGCGCGTTGTCGTGAAGCAGGTTGACTTGTCGCTATATTCCGTGAAGCTTTTCTGCAATCGTTTCGAGCAGCTAGCAGTGGGTAGCCCTTGTCATCGTCAATCCTGCAGACAGAACATCACCCATGGGAAATACCGTCAAAATTCCAAAAGTTTGACAACATCACCATTCCCCCATAGTTGTCAGGTCAAGGCATTGAAACTCCACTTTCCCATATTCCAAAGCCGCTGCTGCTTTCGCATATGGTTGAAGCAGACGGTCCATTTGTCTTCGCCAATGGCCACATGCCACGGCCTATCGTTGCTACTGTGCGACGAGAAGTACATGTGCAGATGTCCACCCGGTGAAATCGTGCGGTACCCATTGACCACATTTCCAAGGCTTGTCTAATTCCTGGAGAGCCTAGCCCATCTATGGGGAAGTTAGGGTACCGTTGTGTGAGCTTCGGGCATTTTCCACTTGTTCTTTGTTCACTGCGACAACTCCCGGCAGCACTACCAATGGGAGACCAATTTATCTTGCTACTTGACTTTAGTAGGTTCTTTAATTTCTCAGCAACAGAAGAAGTGCTGCATCTACATAGAAATCGAACTAGTGAACTGTGGGTGCTACCGAGGTAAGCAAACCAGCCCTTTTGGCGTTTCTGCTGGGACCGTATGCTGAATGTTGGGGAGGGGATGGGGTCCCCGACGGTCGACGGACTACTTCAACTCGGTCGGTACGGTAGGAGAGTAATGACGCAAGTGGTGCAGCTGGTCCAGCAGCTCCGCCAAAAGGGCTGGTTTGCTTTCCCAGGACTAAGCCTTGGAAGAGGACGATCTCGAAGGTAATAAACGTTCCACTGGGAAGAGCTAAAATGAGGCGGTCAAATACCGAGTGAGATCGTGACACACATCCTCCCCAACATTCAGCATACGGCCCAGCAGAAACGCCTAAAGGGCTGGTTTGCTTACATCGACTACGGTAGCGCGGGTGTCCCCAAAGAGGCCCACCGCGCGGCGAAGGAAGAGACGCAGACGCGGCAAAGGACGAGTCGCAGCGCATACTGTAGCGGTTAGGCGTCAGGTTAAACAGAGTGTACCATACTACGTCTCATATCGCACAGCACGCGCTGCGACTCGTCCTTTGCCGCGTCTGCGTCTCTCCTTCGCCGCGCGGCGGGCCTCTTGAAGGACACCCCGCCTCGTACCAATGCAAATCATGTTTCAATGCATTACAAACTACGGATTTGCTCATAAATGTAGTTATTGACTGCTATTTTCAGGATTACTCTGATCGTGCGTGGAATGCGATTATCAGCGAGAACAACCGTGCCAACATTGAAGTGCCCCAACGAACGAAGCGGTACAAGCACTCAAGATCGGACAATTTCGACGACATTGAGAAAAGCGTTCTAGCCACGTTCATGTGCCCAGTAGGACCACCCGGACCCCGAGGAAGACCCGGAACACCGGGAGAACCTGGTCCTCCAGGTGAACAAGGACAGCCGGGTCTCAACGGCAAGGGCATTATGCCGAACACTCCTCGAGGATGTGTGGTTTGTCCCATGGGCCCAATAGGACCACCTGGACCTGAAGGACCACGAGGAGCTCCTGGTCGAAACGGATGGATCGGCAGTGAAGGTAGAGCCGGACGCCATGGCGACATGGGCCCTGTCGGTCCACCAGGAGACAAAGGAGAAGAGGGTCCACGTGGCGAGCCAGGATACCCGGGTGTCGCTGGACGACTTGGATTCCGTGGAAAGGGTCTACCTGGTCCACAAGGTCCACTGGGGCATGCCCGGTGATCCCGGAGCTAATGGACCACACGGAACTCACGGAGAACCAGGACAAATGGGGCCGCCGGGAGAACCTGGCGAAATCGGGAGACCAGGTGAGCAAGGTATTGATGGCCGACAAGGATCGCGAGGAATCCGCGGACAGCCCGGTGAAGACGCGGCTTATTGTAGTTGCCCTACGAGATCGCATTTACTCGTCGATTTAGAGGCGTTCTTATGAAAGATATATGTATTGATAAAATCGAGGTGTATCAAAAGAATAAACCATGAAGAATTTTGTCTCAATTGGCTCCATGAGGGGGTTGTTCCAAGAGTTTGAAAAACTTTTGAACATTTTTTTGAGTTGGCATTATTTCACAAAAGCAATATCCATCATCAATACAAGGACCATCACTATCAGTCATTATCAGTATCACTATCATTGACTTGTTGCCAACGTATCACCGAAAAGTCGATGCCGTGCTCCCTGAAGGTCCGCAGTTTTAGGCTGGTAAAGCAAGTGACGTCGATTTCGAGGTCCTTCTTTGAATCGTATTTTTTGCCCGCAAGATGACTACTCAGCAAGAGTAATTGGCCTACGGAAGGAAGCTGATCACCGCCGTGCGGTGGCTCTGACAGGACTTCCCGACTAACTAGGAAAGGCTCTTAGGAAGAGATGTATACCGCTAGATGTGCCTTTGAACGCTGATCTCAAATACCTTCCAAATCTGCTAAACGATTCTCTGAAGGGAGTTATGAAGCAAAACAGCGCAACGGTAGTGGTCGGGATTTGCAGTCAAAACGTCGTAGGATCGGCCCCTGATCGCGTACTGTTTTGCTTCTTCAGAGTACAGCTAAAAGGCTTTAATAGCCTATTTAGCCTAATTCCTGAAGAACGCAAGACAGTAAACGCGATCAGGGGCCGATCCTACGACGTTTTGACTGCAAATCCCGACCACTGCCGTTGCGCTGTTTTGCTTCATAACTCCCTTCAGAGAATAGATTTGAAGGTAGATTTGAGATCAGCGTTCAAAGGCACATCTAATGGTATACATCTCTTCTTGAATGGCCATGGCGACCTGGGAGCCTTTCCTTGTAAGCTTCGAAATCTAGAGCGGTGTCATTTTCGAAACAGTGGGTCTCGGATGCCGTAGAGCGGATATACCTTGTTGATTTTTAGCGTATTAGTAGGGTTTTTCCTAACAGCTGCAAGCGTTGATTTCAGGAGTCCTTACCTATTACAAGGTCAAAACCACAGAGAAGTTCTCAGTGGCTGGTTCGCTACTTGCCTTCCATAAGTGGCGGAAACGTCTCGCTGAATTTGATCGTTTTTCAGTCCCCTCTAATTGATATGGCCACTGGTACTTCTGCAGATGGTTAGCATAGACAACAAAGGTGAAAATGTAGTTCGAGGGAGCTACTCATAATATTAATCAAAGTGGCAATATCTAATCGAAGGGATACCAACCCGGGATTCCGTACAAAATCGGATACCTGAAAGGCCCTTTCGCCAAGGGCTTGCATGGCAATCGCAAGAAGGGTTGGTGAAAGTGAAGAGTCAGCAAGGTGACAGCCGTTTTCGCCATAGGACAAGGGTAACAAGTGTGACGAACTGGTCGTTTGCCGCTTACTCAGTGAAAGATATGATAAGATATGAGTGCCTTCCCGCAACTCTACTTTGATTAGATATGAGTGTCTTCCGCTACTCCACTTCGATTAGATAGGGTGGCCCCCCGAACTACATTTTCACCGACAACCAACTCTCAGCAGTTCTTAGCCAGACCGTTCTTCACCCACCGCTTAGGGACGAAATAGGATAGATGTTGACTGAACTCGTGTAACACTCAAGCGGTTACTCGCCACTTCATGAGGATTTCTTTGTCCAAGCCTATGTACAATTTTTCGGAAAATGGCAGATCTCTTCCAACCGTGTACCTGAAAGGTTTGAGTGTGGCAGTCACCTAGCAAAATAACTCATACGGGTTGCCTGGATAGAAGAGCACAGCAGGCCTAGAACAGCGTCGTCACGGGTCACGATTTTCTCCAAGCTGTAGCAGATTTGATGATTCTGATATCGTATGGTAGACGACGACAAGGAGATGTATCGCAGAGCAAATTGCTTAGGAAGGTGAGTGAGCCCTTAACCTAAGCGTTTTTGACGGATTCTTTTCCTTTTTTCTTTACTGCCGGCCCACTTCGCACCAATACATTCACATTCGTGTGCAAGAGCCACACCAATGTGATCCTGGGGCATGCCTTTAAGTTCGAAGAAGGCAGCTAGGAAAGTCATGAGTCGTGTACAGGTTACTTAACGAAGTGGGCTCTTCGTAGCCCATTCAGAAATCGCGAAATAAAGTTCCGAGATGCGCAAACTTATGGGACACCTTAATAAATAGTGAATTAGTTCAGAAACGCCCTATCTTCTAATATTGTAAGGGAGGAGTCATGAAATAGTCAGTCCTGAGCGTGCTAGACAAGTGCGCCATGCACATGTTGTCTGTTGGCTAAAAAATTACGTTTTGGGTCTAATGTATAAAGTAAATATACGTGGAACACAAAAAGTGACGGGTCAGGCAGGTGGGCAAATGTATGCACCAATCGTGACTCCTGTCATCTATGTTCTGTACCGACGGAGACGCGAAAACTGGCACCCGCAACGCGATGGAGACTCTTTGACAAGACTCCAAAAAGCTTCGCCAACACTGTTCCCTTACCGCACAAATCGTCAAAGGAGGGAGGTGTATGCTCGCCGCTGAGGATCGTCGGCCGACAAAGAGCATATACAGTAAGCGGTCAAAAAGCTTCGGCCAATACACGACCTTTCTTTTGAGCCGACGACTCGTTCGCAATCGTCTGTACGACCAATTTCTGCGACATCCCAGACTGCGTCATCTGCCCTTAAACAGAGCGGTGACTGCATGAAGGCAGGAGTGATCTATCTGATCCGCTGCCAAGTCTGCGGCAACGAATACATAGGTGAGACGGGGCGCCCTCTTCGCACACGCATCAAGGAACACATGGAGGGGCTCAAAAAGTCACGCACTCAAACCCCATTGGGAATGCATCGGGTTCAGTTCCATGGGGATGTTGCATTCACGGTGTCGGTTACCATCTTGGCTCTAGAAGAGGAGACCACCGCGCGGAAAACGCTGGAGGCGTTTTGGATTGCTGCTAGGGACCCCAAAATCAATAGGAAAGAAGAATGTGTAGCCGTAACCCGTGACCTGGCGCCCTTCCTCGACCTAGGTTTTGAGTTTCGGTGAGGTCAGGGAGGAGAAGATAAGTTCGCTCATTCCACGCAAAAGTCTGCTTCTTGGGTGGTCGATCTTGCGCCTTGGCGACAAAGATCTAGGTAAGCCTTGTAGCCCTCTTGGTTCCATCGATACCGCCTGTTGGTTTAGTAGTCTGGAGAAATTGTCTTCAGGATTGTTTGGCTCATGAAAGGATCGGTCTCAATTGCTTTTCGACTTTTCAGGCTCTGACGAAGGCGAAGAGGCCGAAACGTAAGCCTAATAAAAAGTGCTGAAATCTTGGTCAGGCTACAGCAAAACTATTCGCATCAACTTCCATGCCAAGATTGAGAGAAAGTCGTTCTTGGAAACGACTTTTACTGCATTCTTTTTCTCACTTGAGCAGCACCCTCTAAAAATCGATGTACTGTGATTTTATATCGTCAATTTATCATTCTTAAAATCAAGATATTCAAAAGGAAAATTTTTATGAGGGCAACATGATTTTTCTCTAGCGAAAAAAAAGAGAAGCACGAGAAACTAATTGGGCGAGCACTTTTGACCGCAACTGTAATTATCCAAGTAGGTAAGGACTTAAGCCGTTTGGACAGAGCGAGCACCCGAAGTAAAGCGTGAATTATAATGTTCTGCTGTAGTCACGTACAATGCGCGACGCATTGACGCGCTGAAGTGTGTGCTCGCCTCCCACTATTCGTTTTCTCTGCGCTCTCTCAAAGGAGAGAGAATATGTCGAGCCAACCCGCCAACTATACTGAGCGCCGTTCATGTAGGAGGTGGAGGATGGCACGCACGCCAGAGTGGCCTCGCGCCTAGTCTAGCGCGGCACCCGGGGATAACCTCCCCTAGCCCGTGCGCTCAGCCCCGCGAGCGGCGAGGCGAACGCTGCGACGCTCATCCATTTTTGGATTGCTGCCCAGCGGGGGTAGCCTCATTGTGAGCATAACCCATAGGATTGTCATTGCGGAAATCGCGTCGATGCGACGCGCATTGTACGTGACTACGGCAGGAACATCGTAATTTACGCTTACTTCGGGTGCTCGCTCTGTCTAAACGGCTTATCTCGTAGGTAAGTAATGCTACACAACCACAATGCCTTCCAACCATTTTGCCATATCCGTGAATGGGAAGCGAATGCGTCCAGTGTATGACACGTGCCAGCATAATCACAATCAAACTCGATTGGTTCCCAGATTCTCACCAGTATTTCGTTGAAATTCTACAAAATACAATTACAAATAAGATTTCAGATATTAAGTTTTATTTTTCTCCATGTGTGGCAGTATGGTCATTATTTCTTCGGCGCCTTGTCTTGGGATTTAGTGATGGGTTTGATTTCACTGCTTGATGTGGACATATCAGCTCCTTTTCCGGTTTTCGTTTTCCCTGTAGTGCGAATTGAAGGTTTGCCCTTCTTGCTTTTTTCGGTCATAGACATGCTTGTACTCAAAGATTTCGTTGATATGCTGCTTTTCCGGGGCACCGATTTTGACGAAGGCGCTGGCTAAAAATTCAGCTCGGAGTGAGATCTCAGACAATTATAAGTGCTCTGAAGGCATACCTTGCGCAACTTTTTCCTTTGAGATAGAACGGCGGCCATTACGAAAATAAGGAATATCACCACATAAAGAATGATGAAACTTGGTGACGTGAACGCTGAAAGAATGAAGGCATAACGTTAGAATGCGCTAATATTTATTCATTGAATATTTGTTGTTTCACATAAGAAGAGGCAAATTTGACCCAGTACAAAATGCATAGCTTCTCCGGGTGTCCCCAAGAGGCCCGTCGCGCGGCGAAGGAAGAGACGCAGACGCGGCAAAGGACGAGTCGCAGCGCATACTGTAGCGGTTAGGCGTCAGGTTAAATAGTGTACCATACTACGTCTCATATCGCACAGCACGCGCTGCGACTCGTCCTTTGCCGCATCTGCGTCTCTTCCTTCGCCGCGCGACGGGCCTCTTGGGGGACACCCGCCTCACCAGGATCTCATGAAAGCGGTCTATGATTGTAAAGTCATCCTAAAATTTTGCGTCTGCGGAAAAAGTAGCCAGCTGGGAATTTTCCTAGTACCACCAACTGGTTCCTCCCCATGAATGACTTTTTCATCGCACTTTTGGCAAGAAAAGCTTTTCGTCGAGCTTTTTAATTTTTTTTCTGGTTTTTGCACTATTTGTTAATTTTAGGATCACTCTAGTGAAAAACAGCACTCTGTAGCATTTTCCTCTCTTTCAAGAGCGACATCAAATAGCCTCAGTGGCATACTGGAACTGAGATTCCGAGGCAGTTGGCCATCTTTTCACTTCAGTGGTTCAAGGGTTGCTCGCTTTGCACTTCTGTATTTCCTAACTGGCAGTCATCCGCATGAGACTTCCTGATGAAGCTTAGTAGAAAATTTTTCCTCGAAATAACTTCAGACTATCTGTTCAGGACATCCGAGTTCTGGGAGTGCTGCTGCATTTGTTGAGTAAGTTACATGTAGCTGCACTAATCTATTAATTCGTAGTGTAGACGAAGCGTCGGCTTGAAAAAGGGATGAGATGTTCTTGCAAGGCTTTATTATAAGCGCTGCAGTCCGTTGTGGAGGTCAGGAAAAAAATTCTGGCACAGAGTGGTCACAGAAGTAGTACCTCTAGACAACAACATTTTCCTCTACTGAAGTTGAGCGCACTGAAGTGAATCGGCCACCACTTTTGCAAGTCACGGCAAAGAGTGGTTATACCACAGGGGTGTTGGAACCACCCTTTTCTATTCGAAATAACCATCCATAACAAAGTTGTTCAGCTGTAGGGTGAGATATATTGACGCAGGCTTTTGTAAGAGAGTGAAGAACGCGAGAGAGTTATACAAATACACCAATTATCAAATAAATTACTAATTAAGGTGGTAATAGACCAACTAGTAAACTCCCCTAGCCATTTATTCCTTTGTTCCCTTTTCAGGCGGTTTCCCCTTACAAGTAGCCGTCTGGCACGAGAGAGTGTGTCGGGATGAGAGGCAGATAGTGCGAGAGCATACTGTAGTGACTCATCTGATGCTTCGTACTTAAGGCTTCCGATAGTCGACCTCGAGAGAGATCTCCGCTACAACGACTCGCCTCCGGCCTGCGCCTCCGTCACCCCTTGATCTCCTTCGGACCGTCACCTCTGGGCCCTAACGCCTCCGCTGAAGATACTCGACTGGACTGATCTCGAAGTCAGCATTATAATAAATCTGGCTATATTCTCAACTTAACTATCGGAAGCATCAGTCCGAGCGAGGCGGTTAACTTACTCATATTAATCTTTGCTCAACCTCTTCCTAAGTTCAACCCTGAGGGTCGGAGGTGCGCCTTCTAGTAGTGGCCACTAAGCCTTCAGACCATCTTTGCGCTATTCTGATGATGTCGACACAGAAACATAAAGTTGGGAGAAAACCTAGTTACAAAAAGATCTCCTATTTGGATCAGTCCTCATGATTTTTCTCTATTCATGAAAAGTAGTCTTAGTTAAAAACTTGTAGAATACTTGTTGGCACAGGACCCCTCCAAAAAGCCGTGGTTAACTTCATTCCTTCGCGAAAATTGCCGGCAGGGCTTTTTTCCGAGGGTATCTGAGCTTTTTTTTTTTTGAACGTGCGGTGGCCTTCGACTAGTACACTTACCCTTGTCATATTTTATGACTGAAATGGCTGTTACCTTACACATTATTCACTTTCACAAACCTTCTTGCGACTGCCATGCGAGCCCTCGGAGAAAGGCCTTTCAGGTATCCGATTTTGTATGGAATCTCGAGTTGGTATCCCTATCTAATCATACACTCAGAGACTGTGTCTGGATGGTGATTAGATATGACCGCCCTTCCGCAGCTCCACTTCGATTAGATATTGTAAGTTCCGATTAGATATATGAGATGTTAATGACTGCTTCCCCCCCCCCCCTACACCGGCTACACTTTCACCCATTTTTTTATTAGCAATCGTCCGCGGTTCAAGATTGCGACTAGGCCAAGATTCGCATACAATAAGATATTAGACGCTCCACTCCTACTTCCAATAGCAATTAATACTCACAATAACAGGTCTCACTGGTTCTGCCATGAACAGTTTTATTATTTTTGAGGGTTACATTCACTGAGTACAAATAGCAATTCACGTCGAGCTTGTACCCAGGCGACAGCTGCAATAGATGATTTTACAAACGGAGTGCTAGATACAATGTATTCTAATATAATACCAAATCGTTAGAGTTGACGGACATCGAAGGTTTCGCACACCGCGTGAGACAGAGCCGATTTTTGCTGGCGCGTCGCCCACATCAAATCTCATGAAATATTATGTCGTAAATACGGAAAGGTAGGGGGAGAGTTGTGTAGTGCACCAGTGGCACGTCTCGCCACAGGTTTGGGGATTCCAAATCACTGGTCGTGATCGCCGGGCCAAACTAAGCCTTCCAATCTTCCGGTGCGGTTAACTGGTGGCCAGACATGCTGTAGGATAAAAACACTTGACTTGGGATTAGCTAGCCTCAAGTCCACGTATAAACACATCGCATTTCAAACGCACCTAACGAATGTAACAACTGCGAAGTCAAATGCGCTGCCACATATCCCAAAAAGGAACTGATCAACGGGTAATGTTTTATTTATACTTTTTATCCTTTAAATACGGAAAAACCTGAATGCAAAAATGTCTTCAGTGATATTCCATGTGTTATCGGAAGGTACCACTGTAAAACTTTGATCGAAGTGACGTGTTAAAAGGATAAAACGATAAAGCATTCGCCGTTGATCAATCCCTTTTTGGGATGCGGCACGCATTCTACTTCCATTTGTACATTCGTAGTGGCGTTTGAATGCGATGTGGCCTATACAATGACTTGCGGGGGCCAGCCGATGTACAAGTCAGTGTTTTTATCCTCCCAGACAAGTCTGGTACCAATTAACCGACCCCGGAGGGATGGAAGGCTTGGTTGGCCCGGGCGACTCACGACCCAGGATTTGATCCCGGACCGCTCGCGTGCGTGCCACTTGCCACTACACCACTTCCGCCCAAGGTTGACGTGTTATTGTGATGAGAAAGCAAGTGTTTTAGTTCTTTTAGCTGTAATGGACTTCGACCAAATTATTTCCGCCGCGGTTGCTGTATTGAAGACATAGACAGGGGTGGGCAAAGAAGAGACACTTCCGCTACATCTCGACATCTTATGCAACACTTTGCACCAACAAATCGATTGCCTTAAACTCAATATTGAGGAGCATATTCTGACTTGATTTTTGTCAGAAGATTTTCCCATGGAAACATGGTTCACGGAACGAGCTCAACGAGGTCGTCGAGGTACCATAGACCATTACGACGTCCCTGAAACGCTGGTCAAAAGCGGTTTTGCATAGTCACAGCTAATGTCTCTGGGAAGCTATTTCAAAGTAATTCACTGAAGAAATTATGTAGCAGCTTCAGGCTCGGAGCGATTACGGTAAGCCTCGTTCGAGCTCGACGGTGACGGCAGATGACGTCATATTGTGAGTACGGCGGGGGCAACGAAGGGGGGGGCCGGGCCTGTTTTGGGCGGCACCTTCGGGAATGATTCCGCCGTAAAATTTTAACATTCGTCTTCAGCGTGCACGAAGTTCGATTGATTTGGCGCCATTGGGCTAAAGTGCCTTTTTTTTGGCCAGTCCGCTGTATATTTCGCTTACTTTACGCACATGGTTTTTTCCCCCCTGTGCTTACTTCTAACTACTTTTTATGCATTCATTCTCAAAAGAATGCAAAGAAAATGTGGAACCGAACTGAAGAACTTGTAGAAGTTAGAAAAACTTTGCTAAAATAAGGATTAGTCAACCTTTCGGTCAACCACACCGTATTTGGTCACGTTGTGATGTGATCTACAATATAAATGCAAAATATCAGAAAAGAAGCAGAGCATGCGCGAAAAATAAACAATTTGGGTGTGAAGCGCATGCGCTGCACGCTGTCTCACACGATGCTTAAACCTTGTGGTCAACGTGTTAACATACACCACAATCAAGCACCTCATTGTGAAAAGCGGACGTCAGCATATATCGAAAAACGGTCTCCGCCTAGTACTAGCAGGGTGAATATTGGTCGAGGAAATCCTCGACAGGGACTCGTATTTGTCAAGGTGGGTCATGGGGGATCGTACTCGTGGTGGTCAGTAACGTCAGTGGCATAGTTGTGCAGATGGGACGAATAGGGTGTATCCGAGAAGGAAGTATTCGAAAGTATACAAAGAATGGAAGTGCATCTTTGCAAGGACAAGGTCACATGTGCACACGCGCTGCGAAGGTACCTGCCTCTATCTACCGCCCGCTCGCTCCCCCTCAATACCTCGTTGAGAATGACACTGTTGTTAGGGACCCTGTCGCAAAAACGACAACCGTGAAGGAAAAGCCCTGGGCAAATGAAGTTGTTCTTAGGTTGTAGGAGTTACGAAATGCGTTTACTACAATGCAGCTTCTGTCAACTGGTCATGATCATATGACACCTTCCAATCGATTCTGCAACTTCGAGCGCAGTTTGCTTATGTTGATAAAATGTATTCTAGACACATTTCGAGCGTTAGCCAACGAATTACACTTGCAATGGTGAAGAAGGGAGCGGCCTTTTGAGCGGCCGAGTATCATCCTCGATAGATCCTCGACGCGATCTTCTCACTCAAAGACGTAGAAGGAAGCCAAACATACTGCTAGAAGCGCAAACCTCCCGCTTTTTCATAAAGCATTCTATTTTTGAAAGTTTCAGCAATTAAGGGCCTCACGAGGAAGATGTCGCAGCACTGATTCGTAAGCTCGGCTGCTGCAAACTTCTGTAGGTTGGTTGAGGGATGGGCGTCGAACTATGTACCTGTCAGCGATGAGTCCGTTCATCATAATGAAGAGTGCTAGGCGAGTGTCCCGAAATTCTAGGATCATTCTGGAATATTATCAAGAGTACTTCCCCACTCTAACAGTTCCTCCTAGTTTTGAAGACCTAGACCAGCCGCTGACGTTATGAAAGTCACCTCAAGACTTTACTTCAATAGAGTTTCAATTTTGCAAAGTTTATGGGGCTTGATCGCGGTTAACCCATTCAGTAAAGGTTCGTATGCTGAAGCAGAGAATCCACTCTTTATCGTTCGTTGCAAATGAGTAAATCAGGTCGTTTTCATTGCGTAAAAGAAGCTAGCAAGCGGCGGACGACACTTGAAAATGGGAGCTGTCGCAGCACGCTCTATTTAAATTTTTTGGACATTCCAGCTACTTCCTTATAACTAGGTTTTACAAACCACATATACGTCCCCAGCGCTTGCAGAACCATAGAACCCTGTGGAGTGTGCTCGACCAAGAATTTTCGGAAAATCGGTTGGCATTGTCCAATAGCACCATCTCTAGGGCTCTCGCCATCCTTACTAAAGCTTTTTGAATAATTGCTTCAGACCATATTTGATGCAAATCTCAACCAAGTGCATCAGAAAGAAAAATTGTTACTTTAGAAATGCTCGAGTATGAACGCAAATTCCAAGTAAGTTTCAATTTATTGTAAAACGCTTACGATTCCACAAAACGATCCGCCGCGTAATAGCAGACGTTGAGCAGATTCAATACTGACATGACAACCTTCTAGAGTTGCGAAAACCGTGTGGAATCAACCACTGATTCCACTGCCTATTGGGGAAACCTTCTCAAACGATTTCCTCAAATTAGACGCGTTTCCCCTCCATATTCCTGGCTCTTTTTCATGCCAAAGGTTTCCCTACCTTCTCCCATAGTGCTTCGATGACGTTCAAGGAAATGCGGCCGAATTGGTCCCTTCATTAGTAGCACGCCTATTCTGAAACCACTCCTTCACAAAGAAGATACGATGTTTTTGCACTTCCACAGTGAAAGAGTCGTTTCGCCAGCATGGTGTGGTGCTTCTAACGCAGCGACTAATTCGGCCACATGTCCGAAGCGTCAAAGAAACACTATGGAAGAAGGTAAGGAAACCTTCGGCAGGGAAAAGTCAGGAATATGGGAAAAACGCGTCCAATTTGAAGAAATTTTGAGGAGGCTGTCCCAATAGATAGTAAAATCAGTGATTGATTCCACACGGTTTTCGCTACTCTAGAAGGTTATCATGTCAGTATTGAATCTGTTCAACGTCTTCTATTATGCGGGATTGTTTTGCTGAATTGTAAGCTTTTTACAATAAATTGAAATTTACTTGGAATTCGGTCATACTCGAGAATTTTTGAAGTAACAATTTTTTCTTTCTAAATTCTTTCTCCCATTCCAATAACTTGCTTAAGTGGAGAACGTTTGCCTCTAAAACATATCAAAAATTGAACTGATTTGATTCAGCAGAAAGAAAGCTATGACCGAAAAGTATTCGGCCGAGTACTTTCGAGCGCTTCTGTATCTTGACTCGCTTCCACCCCTTAACACGTTGACGACATCGCATGTTTTGGCATTTTGCACCTCGTGGGACAGGAGCGATTTTGCGACCGCGCCGTCCTCACCTTACTTACGCTTATTTTTTGTTAAAAATGCACAATAACTTGAATTTCATAGGACTATTTCGGCAAGGACGATCGCACAAAGGTTAAGTATATAAGTAGCAAAAGGTTTTCGTTTAGAAGAGCGCATAATAACCACGAAGAAGTAAAAAAACATCACTTTCGCTGCGAATGAAATTAAAAGCATTTATATCTAAGTACTCCCATCAAATCAAATATATTGAAACTCACAGAGTTTTGTTTCAACTAACTCTAAAATCTTTCATAAGAATATTGACGGCAGTGAAAGTATTATTAAGAAAGAATCGGAACGAAAGTTTTGTGCGTTCGGAAAATCTTTGCTTAATCAAAAGATACTTGACCACTCTAGCTGCCAAGCGGTTTATAGTCATGCTAATGTATTATCTATAGAATGAATACAAGAAACCCGAGAGGAAGGAGCGCAAGCACGATAAAAGTGAGTAGCATAGACTTGACGCGCTTGCGCGTCAGAATGTCCGATGCGGTGCGAAATTCTTGACGCGCATGCGCGTCAGCTTGTCGTCAACGTGTTAAGGCTCGTTTTGAGCTAGGAAGGGAAAAGCATGTGAACTTGCTAATCAAGTATACCGTACACAAGGCTTCGAAAACTGATAACCAAATAGTGCTGAACAAAGTTGATCCCAGTTTTAGATAGAACA